ATTTCTCGATTTGCAATGTTGAAATAGATACACACAAACCATTAAATAACCTATTGACAGTAAAGCAATGGATCATTCAAAAATTACCTTCTGCAGAAGGGATAGACCTTAAAGATAAAGCTGATGATCTTTTCATTCCAGAGAGACTATACAATCCTCTTTTGGCTGGGTCTCCTGGTGAAGTCACATTGTCTGGTCCGGTAACAGATGTGACACTTTGACAGTCAGATTCCACATCTGTTTTTGCTGCATCCTCCTTTGAGGAGGATTCAGGACTTGTGGTCCAAAGCCCAGAATTTTTTGGTCCATTGGATGATGGCGATGACGCAATCCATGGAACAACCCCTGTTTTTTCCCTGGATTGAGAAGATGCAGGTTTGGTAGTGCTGTTCTGTTCAGAAGAGTGAGAGGACAGTGATTCTATGCTGCCCATTGGAGTGCTGTCTGGGCTGCTACTGTATGAATCACCTGGAAGGTGGAAAGGTTAAGAGAAGTGGATGAAAACAATAAATGGCATTTCTCAAATTTAGCCAGCATTGATGATGTTACTTAGCTTGCTAATGAAACGTCTGTAAGAAAATCAGCAAGCTCAGAGAGCACCAAGGACCCCACATTTCTCAAATTTCTTTGCTTTCCCCTGGGAGGAAAACAACACTACCTGCTATTAACTAATATGCACAGAAATGCAATATGATCTCAATTGACTTTACCAGAACAATATTTACTTCATGATTCTGCACAAGTGTAGCAAAACCCATACAGATTAATGATGGCATGAGAATGCATGAATCTGAACATCTTGAGTGTGACTGTATGAGAAAATGGCTTATGGCTATATGGTATGTAAGAGCTGTGGTGGCGCAGTGGTTAGAATGCAGTATTGCAGGCTAACTCTGCCCACAGCCAGGAATTCAATCCTGACCAGCTCAAGGTTGACTCAGCCTTCCATCCTTCCAAGGTTCGTAAAATGAGGACCCTAATTGTCGGAGGCAATGTGCTGATTTTGTAAACCACTTAGAAAGGGCAGTAAAGCACTATGAAGCAGTATATAAATCTAAGTGCTAGTACTAGTATTCCATGCCAGATGAAGGTCCCAAGAAGACGTCTTCATGGAGCTTTCAATAGTCAATTGAACGGCTCTAGACAAGCATCAGAATATTTGAAGTCCTATTTTGTAAATGAAACCACTGGAATTTGATGTCACAAATGGCTAAAAGAAACATTTGCCCTTCACATACTAGTGTGATTAATTGCTCTTGAACACTCATTTTACATTTATATATATTGGGGTTTTTCCAGCATGAAGCTCAGAGCAATACAAATAAACTTCCAGGAAGTATTTTAGTCAGATAATCACTAAATCTAAAATTGCATCATGTGCCTTTGTACCATACCCTATGATCCCTCCTATATCTTTGGTTGAGTCAGGAGAGGAAGAAAGAAAGATCCTCTTTGTGTACAATTAAGACAGCTAATTCTGCCTCAGCATATCTAGATTTTGTTGGGGGAAAAGGTTATAAACATACAATGAAACAAAGGAACAAGAAATATATAAATGTTCCAATATATATGCTATATAAATATTTTAAATAAATAAGAAAAGCCCAAATGAAAAAGTGCAGATAGGTGCACTGTGAATAGCCCAAAATGCTCAGTAGAGAAGCACCCCTTGTGCTCAGAGCAACACAATTATTACCACCCATTTATAACCAACTGTGAGAAATCAGACAGTGCTAACAGAAACAAATGCACTTACTATCTGGATCTGCTAGACATGGAGTATATCGTCCTTTAGGCTTGCGAGGACCTGTGGAGAGACAGATTGCTCTTGTCCTTCTTGAGCTTGATCTGGATTGAGGCTTTCCAAGAGGAATATTGGGATCTGGGGCTGTGTGGAATATCTATCAATAAAGGCAAACATACATATTGTTGAGAATCTTTGGGAATACCTGCATTTGCTTAGGCAGAGAGATTGAGTCATCTGTTTCCAGTAGAAGTTTTTTCTGTACAATTTGAGTATCACATTAAATTCTTCAAAATAATTTAATAATTACAGAATAACAGAGTTGGAAGGGACCAACCCCCTGCTCAGGCAAGAAACCCTATATCATTTTAGACAAATGGTTGACCAATCTCTTCTTAAAAACCTCTAGAGTTCGAGCATCCACAATTTCTGGAGGCAAGCTGTTCCAGTGATAGTTTGTTCTCACTGTCAGGAAATTTCTCCTTTGTTCTAGGTTGATTTTCTCCTTGATTAGTTTCCATCCATTGCTTCTTGTCCTGGTGCTTTCCAGAATAAATTGACCCCTTCTTCTTTGTGGCAATCCTTAGATATTGGAACACTGCTATCATATTCCCCCTTGTCTTTCTTTTCATTAAACTAGATATACCCAATTCCTGTTTTAGTCTCCAATCCCCTAATCATCTTAATTGCTCTTTTGCTCTTTCTAGAGTCTCAACATCTTTTTTACATTGCGGTGACCAAAACTTGATGCAATATTCTAATATTACATAAGACAATACACAGCATCCTATTGTCTTCATAGGTTGAGGCTTCCCTTTCCCAAACTCATATAGAATTTGGGGAAATATCGGAATGTAAGAATGTGAAGAAAGCTACTCTACATTATTAACTGAAGGAATTCCTCTACGTTGCAGACACTTACAATTCTGAACAATTTGAAGAGATTCTAACTTTTGGTACACATAGTGATTCTGATATTACCCTGTTTATTCCAGATCAATCCAGATTATTTCTTCTTTTTCAGAATATACTGGCGGTAAAAACTGCTTCTTAGCAAAATTAATACATATTTTATAATGAGCATCTTTTATTTACTATGTCACAGAATGTGGCATCACCTAGCTCAGGGGTAGGCAACCTTGGCTCTTTTATGACTCGTGGACTTCAACTCCCAGAATTCTTGAGCCAGCCAGCCCCTGACCTAGCTGATCTTGGCTGATTTTTTAAAAGTAGGGTCACTGATGACAGAGTAAGAAAGGGCCTAAAAATCTTCTAGTCCAACCCTTCGCTTAGTCCTGAATCCTGTGGAACAAGTACTCAAACTGTGTCCTACAGAATCCTAGGAGACCTTAATAGGTTCCATTAGAGATTAAGGGGTGAAAAACGTTCATTTGAATGCAGTCAACTTTCTTCCACTAAAGCTTTGCCTAGAATTTTTCTTAACTAATAGTTTCCATAATCTGAAAGATGTTGAAAACCTCTATATTAGAGCATTTCTGAAAGATGATTCTCAACCCTTTGATCAGATAATCTAGTGCAGTGTTTCTCAATCTTGGTAGCTTGAAGATGTGTGGACTTCAACTTCTAAAATTCCCTACCAGTCATGCTGGTTGGGGAATTCTGGGAGTTGAAGTCCACATATCTTCAAGCAGCCAAGGTTCAGAAGCACTGATCTAGTGAGCGAAAACTTATTATGTCATGGGATAGCCCATTAAATTGTCTGATACAGTCTGGAAGTTTCTTCCAATAATTGGTATCTACTCCTTTGTTATACTTTTAACCTACTGCTTCTTGTCCTGCTATCTGGGACCACAAAGAATTCATTTACTCCCTCTTCTGTGTGACAGCTCTTCAGATATTTGAGGACTGTCGTCATAGCTACTTTTTGTTATCTCTTCAATAGGCTGAACATTCATAGAGATTTTCTCCTTTCTTCCTTTCACTTGCTGTTCAAATAGGAGCTATGAGTATAGGAAGATTCCCAAGTTGCAGGTTACTTCCAGGAAATGCTATGCTGCTGTTGACTGAATAAACCATTCAATTTATTCACTATTGATTAAAAAACCCAAGACATTTATATTCCTACAGTTATTAAAGTAATATAATGTTGAATTTCATATTTTTTTTAACCATAGATTTCAGTAAAACTCATGACATTCTACCTTCTCATAATGCTCAATGAGAATCTCAACCACAATATTCTGAAACTTGATGTTCATCATAGCGGCCACTGTTTCCTCCTGGGCTCTCATCAACGTGGGACCAAAAATAACTCCAAGATTGGAGACTGTCATGAGATTCTGCTGACTATGTAACGACACCCTGAAAATAAGCAATTAAAATAATAGTAGAATTTAGATATCATGCACTAGCATTTCATTTCCATTCAATATAACTGGACATTGCATTTATGTCTATATTAAGTAAAAGGTGTAATTTATTTTGATAACATTCTTTGGAAAGACAGAAACTATTTGCTCTTTGGTGAGGAATATACTGTTGTAGGAATTTTGGAAACAGGCTTTCCTATTTAATAATTTAAATATTTAAATGATTTAAACATTCTACATATTTTAAGCAGAGCTTCAAATATTTAATAGACTTTGTTAATTCCAGTTTTCCTCCCAAGCTATTTTCTCATGGAATAAAATTTCTACTGATTAACACAAATACTAAGCAATGCATCCCATGTACACTGCCTCTAAAAAACAGGTTTCTTCCCAATAAATATAAATCCAATATAACCCTTTATTTTATATGTGAAAGGGAAACTCTTTTTAACTTTTTTTTTCCTAGAAAAAAGAATCACAAACAAATGTAGCTGGCAGGGCTTAGCTGAAATTAGAATATATAAATACCATTTTTCCAAAATGCTAATGGACATCTATTCAATTTATTGCCACCAACGGTTTACCTAATTCAAATCAATTCACACAAGCCAGTTCCAAACACCAAAACTTTGTAACATGATCACAGGAAAAGTCACGCCTATCCAGAAATTTATAAAAAATTTGTTTTAGACTATAGGTTGTCCTTGACTTATGACCGATCACTTAGCAACTGTTTAAAGTTACAATGGATCCAGAAAAAGCTACTTATGACCTGGATTTGAAGTTCCAACAACCGACTCCCCCTGGTCATGTGGCAGCATTGTGGGTGCTGGCCCGCATTTACCGCCACTTGCAGTGCCCTGCAATCACTTGACCATGATTTATGATGTTTTTGCTGGAAACCAGTACTTATTTCCAGTTTCTGGGGAAAAAAAATCCTCATAGCGAATAATAGATTCACTTAACTAGTGTGGTATTTGCATAAAAAAGGTAATAAAATTGGGTCTGGTCAAGAGGTAACCTGCTTTATGACTGTCATGATTTACAACCAAAATTGTGGGCTCAATTACAATGGTATGTCAAGGCTTATCTATATGGTTCAACATGAAGCTTCTAATCTTATTGGATTATTCATTCACAGCTCTACTTCATCTTAGGATGCAATACCTGGCCCACTTTCTCAAAATTACTCATTCTTTGATATGGCACTTTCTTGAAAACATACAGATGGTCAATTTGTAACATGTCCCCAGTAAATGGTACTTATGGATTTAGCAAATGAAAGGATAAGATAGGAAATCCTTTACATCAACCCCCCCAACCAGATGATTTGCAGATATCTTGTTCATATAAAAATTGCATGTTATATTTGTGTAAAAAAGTCTTCCCGGTTCAGTTGTGTCAAATTCTAGGGCACAGTACGCATCTCTGTTTCTTGGCCATGGGAACCAGCATTGTCCAAAGACGCTTCTGTGGTCATGTGGCCAGCATGGCTATATGCCAAAGGCACACAGAATGCTGTTACCTTCCCACCGAAGTGGTGCCTATTAGTCTACTCTCATTTGCATGCTTTCAAACTGCTAGGTGGCCAGGAGCTGAGGCAAGGAATGGGAGCTCACCCTGTCACATGGGACTTGGGTCTCGAACCCGAGCTGTCACCTTTCTAGCTGAGCAGCTCAATGTCTTTAACCACAGAGCCACTGAGCCCCCCACCCTTTATAGGTGTAATCTGGCATATGTTGAGGCACCAACCCCCAGGCTGCAACCCAGTACCAGGCTGCAGCCGGTTTGGAACTGGGCTATGGAAGTGGCAGGCGAGCACGTGAGGGTACAACTCCATTTGTGCGAGTGGTGTGTGTGTATGCTTCCATTTGTGCAAATGGAGCTGCATACACACTTGCCTGCCACTCGCACGAAACCATCCTCTCCACCCCACCAGTCCGCAAAGGATTTAGTTAAGGAGCTCCTAAATTAACCCTAAATCCCTAAATTAAGGAGGCTCTTTTCATTACTGAGAGTTGTATGTGTGGATGCATCCTATATTTATATATTTATTTCTTCTCTGGAACATTTGTCACCTGGACTCATTGTGGAATTCATATCTCAGAGTAAGTTGTCCTACACATTGGACACACTTGATGCAGGGTGCTGTTCTTGGTGATAATCACCAAGAACAGCACATATGAAAGAGATAATCTCCTTCATATTAAAGCAGTTCCAAATTTCATAAGCTAACCCTATTACATATTACTGAATACAATATTTAAAGTTGGAATAGTTTATTGCTTCATATTGTTTAAAGCAGACACATAACTTTGTATGCAGCTAGAATGCCTTATAAAGATTTTCATATCTTGACTAATAAAAGAATATTGAGTAAGTAAAGTTAAAACAGAAGTAAAACAGATGTCAGTTTCCATATTACTGTAATTTATTATCTTAACAAGAAAAGCTTAGGCTACCTTGGTGACAAATTGAATCTTTTAGATAACAAAAGTGAGGCTGATATTGCCTTGACAAATAATAACTGGACATAAATTTTTGAAATGGGAATTAAGGTTTAGTTTCTTGAAGAAATTTTAGAAAATAGCTTTTTCATAACACTAATGAGATAGAAATGTTATTGTAATAGTTTGATTTTGGGATAATGAATATAAATAGGCTGAAATAATAAGAGAATGAAATTTATGTCATTACATTAAAGAAAATATCCATTTCCTGAAAGTCTACTTTTATTGTGCTATATTTCCGGATAAAATATTGTCAATCTTTTATATTTTTTGTATTTTTATGTGACAGCATGGGCAAATTTTCAATAGATAAAATACTAGATCTGCTTAGTAATTCTTTGATCAACAAACGACACCTGAAAGTCATACTGTGAGCTTTTCCTAGTCCTGGTTTAGCACCTTAACCACCACACCAAAGTAACCCTGATAGTTTCAGTTGCATCTTTTATTGTATTTGGCTGCCAGAGATCAAAAATACATAGTCATGGGAAGAGAAATGGAATGTGTGAATCCAATGACTGGATATCATTGCTTATTGCTGAAAATTTTTGATGAACACATGTTAACCACACAAACATTTATATAGAGTTAAATGTAGGGACTGTTAATTGAAATCCATTTGAGAGTTAATCTAAGACAGAACTGACTTCCTTATGTTCCATTATTTCATTCCACCAAGAAATGGTTATAAACATCAAAGGCAGATCCATATCCAGATGTTCTTTAAGTAACGTTTTTGAAAAGCTAAAACACACAAACACACATACACAAGAATTTTCAAACAAATAGCAATGTGTCCACCTAAATAGCAACAGGAACAAGAGACATAACTGGCATCTTAAGTTAGAGTTTTTTCAGATATATATGAAAAGATGAATGGTCAGTCAGCCTGGAGTAACCTTCTACAAAATAATTCTTTGCCAGAAAAGAAATATGTAAACAGATCATGGAATGGATGCTACTTCGCATTGGGAACCTCCCGGAGGTGCTAATTAATAAATACATTTCCAGTCATGAATACTTATAACCAGTGCTTTTTTTCTAAAAAAAAAAAAAAAGGTGCTGGAATTCACACACGTCATACAACTCGCCTTGCCTACCCTACAAGGTTCCATCAAAAAAAGATGCCGGAACTCCATTCTGGGCGTTCTATGAGATAAAAAGCCCTGCTTATAACTGTTGTTTTGGGATATGATTTAAGGCAGCAGCACTAAAATTCCTCTCTTTCCTCCTATGATTATAAACAACCCACATAAAAAGCAATTATTACTTGACCAAATGCTTTATCAGGATGTCCAACATCTCCCGGTTTTTCTCTGGCAACTTGTGGACAAGTGCATGGACGGCTTCCACTCTGTAATTCTGGTCATCAGACTCTGTTAAAAAGATAGTAACAAGAATAACAACCCAATGAGGTCTCCTGTACTAAGTGATTTCAAACAGAAGCTAGGTCCTGTCTGAGATGTTCTAGCTAGTGGATCCTATGCTGAGGAAGGCATTGATTAAGATGATCTTTAAGATTCCTTCCAATTCTAAGAATCTATATAAATCTCTGCTACTTCAATCATCATCACTACATCACATGCTACTTATTGTCAGTAACAAAAATGAAATGCGTGGTGGCCCAGTGGTTAGAATGCAGTATTGCAGGCTAATTCTCCCGACTACCAGGGTCAAGGTTGACTCAGCCTTCCATCTGTCCAAGGTCGGTAAAATGAGGACCCAGATTGTTGGGGGCAATATGCTGACTCTGTAAACTGCTTAGAGAGGGCTGTAAAGCCCTGTGAAGCGGTATATAAGTCTAAGTGCTATTGCTATTGCTAAAGATTTCTTTAAACAAACAGAAACTGACAAAGGATGTCACCAGACGTCTAAGCACTACTGATTTTTCACCACACAGAAATGCATGAGGCCCTCCACAAATAGAAAGTTATGAAATAGAAATGGATAAAATAGTCATATGAATATCAAAAGCTACCAGCAGGAAGGGGACAAAAGAAGGCATGATTAGCAAATGGGACATATAGATGAAAATGCTGAACTCACCTCCCACTCCCATTTTTGTTATGCTGCAGCCTGATTCTACAGTTGTTGAAATTATTTTTTTTCTCATTAATCTATACTCAGTAGCCCATAATAACAAAGTGAAAACAGCATAACAAAATTGAAGGTCTGAATACTTTGAATGCAGTGTGTGTGTGTATGTATACCTACATCTATAAAGAAACCTGAATTCTTAATATGTATATTATATATAGTTTGTCCCGACACCAGGATTATCATTCATTTTTTTCACTTACTAACAGCAATGATGAAATCCTTGTGTAACTTGAAAGTCATGAGTGGCTCTGCAAGACACCTGAGGAAAAAAATTAGTGATTGAAAGAGGCTGAATGTAGTATTTTGAAGATATTCACATTTAATTCCAAAGCAGACATTAGCCTTAGTTCCATTCTAAACTCGCATGCATGGCTGTGAGTTATGGATAGTACTACTGAAGCCTTAAATAGTCACACAGCTAGAAGGAGAGATCTATATAAATAAAAATGTACATGTTCGTTTGTTCAAAATCTTAAATCTCCGAAAGTTCTTCACCGATTGCTTTGAAATTTTGACACAACGTTGCATTCGAATACCCGCGTGTTTTTATATACCTATATTATATAGATGTCACACCTGTGACAGGTAAAAACATGTTTTTGAAAAACAGCGCCATCTGTTGGACGTAAAAGCAACACACGCTACGATTTTACCATTCCATTTCAATGTTTCCGATTTACGATCCATTTATGATTTCCAAATTTCCAATTTTACGATTCCATTTCAATGTTTCCAATTGCATTGTTAAATTGAATTTTCATAGATTTCGATTTATTTTCATTTTGATTTAATTATTTCGTGTGACATTGCGTTGGAATTGATGCACAGACAATGGAACAACAAAAAATATTGTATACCCACAAGCATTGTGAAATTAAACATATTAGAAACGTGCGCTTTCTCTTTTCTTTCTTTTCCATTTAACCAGACTGAGCCACAGCAACGCGTGGCCGGGTACAACTAGTGATAAATAAAAGCTTCCTGCAGCCTTCTTCAAGCTGGTGACCTCCAGATGAGTTGGACTACAGCTTTGCTCTTTCCCAGCTGTATGTTCTCAAAGGTAAAGACCTTCTCATATCAAGTTTGGCTCCTTGAGACCATGTAATTTTCCTGGCCACAGCACAGTAGTGATATATTATTGCCATTTTTAGGTTGTTTTTAGCCTACAGATCTGGGATTTCTAGTGATTTCTCATCAAGTCCTAAATGGGTTTGATTGCTTTGCTTGTTTAGAGACTAATGAACATTAGTTTGATGCTACAAGGGGCTATCTTCTATGATTTCATTGAATTATGGGAAGAAGAAGGAAGTTTAAGATTCCAAAGGTACAACTTCCCTAACTAAATTCAGTCTGCCTCCTTATTTTTGATAACCTTTAGTAATTTTTCCTTTGATTAGAGTTAAACTTCTAAGGATGTTTAAATTAAAGAGAAGTACTTAAGAGTCAAACCCTCAGGTGATCCTATCAAAAATACTGCTCCAATCAGCAGTTATTACAAAAAAACTGTAGAAGTAATTCTGATAGCTATGCAACCTCAAATCCTTTTAAGTTTGTTCTAATAGTCCCTCTAAATGTCTGAGCTCTTAACAACTTTTCCAGTACATTTACAGTCAAATTTGATAGGACTCTACACTCCAATATTTGGAGGGCTCACTTAAGTGAAATCAATATTAGGTTGTCTAGAATGCAAGACAATGCATTCAAGACTAATCTGCTTTCTGAATAAATATATACCTTCATTTTTTTTCATTCCTTGACAATGCAACTTCCTACATTACTGGATTTATTAAACAAATGAGATACTTGTACTTGTTTTATGTGAGTCTAATAGCCAATTAGTGAACCATGCTGTGCAGTTTTGATCAAATAAATTAACTAGTTAAAGAAATTTACTGCCCAGTGTTGTAAGCATTAGATATCAACTAGGAAAAGCTCAATTTAAAATGGAAACATTCACAATACACTGAAAATAAGACAACTATATCAATGGCTATGAACACCGTACTATGCTCTCTACATTACAGTAGAGTTTGAAGAGTATAAGCCAGAGATACTGACAAGCACTTGCCCTAAGACATTGGAATTTTGCATGACTTATGCTTACCTGAGGTAGTTCTTTAGCCCACTTGTTATAGTTTTATTGTCCCAAATTTCCAAATCAATGTCCATATCAGGAGGAGATTTAGGCGCTATTAAAAGAGAGAGCAGTTGGATGAATCCATTTCCCAATGGAACTTTAGACACCACTACTAGGAGTGTCATCACTTGAAGCCTTGAAAGTTGTACATATTCAAATATTCAGTACTTGGGTAAAAGTAGCTCAATATTAAAAGTTTATATGATTGGGAACAAGTAGTTTAATTGACAAACTATATGCAATTTTGCTCCAACACAGTTTAACTACTGGTATGGATTATTTCATCCTTCAAAAGAAGGAAATCAAAGTCATAATAATATCTGGGATACAACACAATGGGGCAGCATCTCACCCACAGATGGCTCTTAGTGCTCATCAGAAACTTTCTTGGGATTCTGAAGATCTGAGCACTATTTGCAGATTGACAGGAAGTGATCTGATCATGATAAAGAATAGGTAATAATGTCCTCCATATCTGGATCTTATTCCATGGACTCTGAAGTGAAGGCCAGATCAACATACTATCTTTCATGAGTATGAGGAAGATAATTTGGGACATGCCCATGAACTGCTTCTGACCTTGGACCTGGAGCATGGAAATTGAACCTCAGCACAAGAAGCCCAGTGACAAGGTCAAGGAACTCTTTGAGGGCTGATGCCAAACATCAAGGTAGTTTATACACCAGAAGCAACTCCAGTCTGATACACCTATCTCTAGGACAGTGATGCTAGATACTGACGAGGTACCAGAAATAAACTTTGAACAATCTTCCTGCTTGCCCCTGGTATGGTGGCTAATGGAGGACCCAAAACTAGGAGGATTCATCTCTGACAAGGGAATATCTCCTTGGATATTTGGCTGCAGACTTGAATGCCTGGTCTATTGAGTGTACATGATGAAATGTGAGGAAGTATGGAAGGGAAGAGAGTGTAGGGAAGAGAAGGGCTTGCTGCACCTTGAGGGGGTCAATGAGGATGTGCCCATTCATTACAAGAACACTGGTGGTTTTATAGCTCAAAAAAGGGGACTAAGGGAACATTCATGTGTGGCATAGATAACATGGATAGAAATCCCCCCACCCTTTACAATATTACAACTCAAGGTCAGCTACTGAAACCAGATGCAGGGAGTTACTGAATTATTGAATCATGAGAAAAACTGGGTATAAACTGTGGAATTTGCTGCCAGCTGTTATAATGAATGGTCATCAATTTAAATCTTTAGGAAGAGTTCATGGAAGATCAGGCTGTCAACAGCTATTAACAGTGTTGGTCATTTATTATTTTTTAAATAGTAAGCAGAATGCATTAAAAATTGATTCCTGGGAAACAAAGAGTGAATGAGGGTTTTGCTCTCCAGTCCAACTTCCCATTTCCACCCAGTTGGCCATTGCGGGATACAAAATGATGGACCAGATGAGCTACAGCCTAATCTGGCAAGGCTTTTATGTTCCTTCTCTATTGCCAAGCTACAGCTGCTAGCAGTGTCACTGGCAATTCATTCATTCTCTGCCACTGTTTGATTATCTTGCATAAATACCAAAATGTTCCAGCATTTCAAAAGACTAAAAATTTGTGCTTGGTTTTAAATTTGATTACTGAATAACTCTCATTTTTATTGGAAGTTTAAGGAAGCATCTTAGAAGTTACAATAATCTGAAATAAATAGTTCCTCAATAATTTCCTGAAATATATCTGGCAACAACAGAAATTTAATTGCTCATAATCTCCAAAATATTTCTCAAAACTAGGGACCAAAATGATAATCAAAACAAGAATTTTGCCACTAGATATGGTAACATATACTAAGCGAAATACAATCTGTCCAACATAATCTAGAAAGACTGATTAATGTAATTTTATGAAAGAATGCCATATATGAATTATTTTACAACCAATTTTGATGACTTTCCAAAATGAAAAGGAATTTTATAAAGGATTCCAAACTGACTCATGTATTTAAAACCTGAGGTTCTCTTCCATATAGGAGGGCTATTTTATATAAGTTTTATTTTGCATAATAATAATGCAGTTCCTTTAATTATAAATGTTGTGGAAATAGAACTCTGTTCTTTTTTATTAGGATGTCATATTGTGCTTAGATTTCAGCTTAACATTACAAATCTTATATATATAGTCTCAAAGTATACTATTGTCTAGACTCTAGGGTGTTTTTATATTATTTTATGCATAAAATTTCATCAAAATAATGCTGAACTAAATTTGGGGAAAAAATAAAATTGGAAAAGAAGCAAGAAACAGTATTTTAAGGTTTCAGCATTTACGAATAATGCAATTACCCTAGCAAATTGATAAGCTCGTTTGTAAATTTAATGCTAATCATTTAGCAATTGAAGAATTTAACTGAATTAAATTTCTCATCTGATTCCAAGATGGTCATAATTTATTTCAGCCAGCTTTCTTGGAGGCAAATGGATAATACAAGGAAAGGGCTTTAATTTTTTTCTGCACGTTTCATCCAACTGGCAATATTTTCACATGCAAATGGGAAATGGTAGTCAGCAATCAAGATGCATATTTGGAAGAATTAATATTTAACCATTAAAACAGTTAGATGGGTTTTTCCCTCTTGAATTCCTTCTTTCACAGGAACATTCCAATAAGCAGGGCTGTTGGATAAATACAAGCTTATTTTGCTTATATATTCAAGTAGATTCTGTTTGAACACACAATAAAATACTGAAGTACAATGAACATCTAACATCATGAGGGGGGACATGATAGCAGTGTTCCAATATCTCAGGGGCTGCCATAAAGAAGAGGGAGTCAAGCTATTTTCCAAAGCGCCTGGAGGCAGGACAAGAAGCAACGGGTGGAAACTAATCAAGGAGAGAAGCAACCTAGAACTAAGGAGAAACTTCCTGACAGTGAGAACAATTAACCAGTGGAACCTGCCTCTAGAAGCGGTGAATGCTCCAACACTGGAAGTTTTTAAGAAGACACTGGACAGCCATTTGTCCGAAATGGTATAGGGTTTCCTGCCTGGGCAGGGGGTTGGACTAGATGACCTCCAAGGTCCCTTCCAACTTTACTATTATTATTATTATTATTATTATTATTATTATTATTATTATTATTATTATTATTATTATTATTATTATTATTATTATTATTATTATTATTATTATTATATTCTTACAGAAGACGGTGTTCATCAGCTTCTGCACTTTGGAGTTCACACCCCCTATCCGGTACAATCCCAAGATTGTAATACCTTCAAAGATAAATGAGAATACAATGTAGTTAGACTTTATCCATTATGAATGCTTCAACACCACTTATTGACAGTCTTGTCACCTTGCCACTGTTGTGATTCATGGTTATTGCATTCACAAATCCATAGGGCCTGAGTGCATTTGTGGGGCACATTCCACCCCACCCCCCACTTTCACAAGTAAGCCCATCACTCTTTGCAACCTGGTCACATGACAAAAGAGCCCCTGTTTAGAATAGGAACGAGAAGGCCAGTGAAGTATGATGGTCTCAAGTTCTCAGCAATCTGGAGTCAATCAGTTTTTGAGTCCAATCTCCCTCTCAAGGTTATCACTGGGATAAAATTAATATAGGAGGAGGAGGAACTGAGGAATAATGCAATAACAATGTCATAGGTATTGCTGCCAACCACACAAAAGAAAAATTCTGCAATGTCTGACACAGATATTTGAAATAATTCATTTGCACATGGCACCTATCCTGTCATTCCCACCAGAGATAAGACTGGCCCCATCCTTGTTAACTTTCTGGAAGTCCTCAAAATGTAGCTATCTCAGCAGGCTTGTGGATTTCAGGGAAATTTATGCTGCCTATCTCCTTTATAAAGCAGTTTACGGATTATAAATGGAGAAATGGTGAGATGGTTACATTGTATATAACATCAAAGATGCTCTATCCTGGTCTTTATTAAGAATAGTAATAATGATCTCTTTTATTGTGGAATGATGTGTAATGTTTCTTAAAGATGTTTATTTATATGCCACACAGAGTCACGTTCATAAGATGGGTGGCTATGTAAAATGATTGAATTAATAAATCAATACAATGAACCAGAAATGTACAAGCAGGGTTTAATGGATTGAAAAGCCAGTCTTGTATAGCATTGCACAGTTTAATGTCTTCTTGGAATCATGTTTAAATCAGTCAACTAAGATAAGTTGAGTGAAGAGACTTCAAGCACAAAGAAAGTGCTTAGTAATGACATCACTGAACATCACTGAAGACCAAAGGCCTAAATTTTTAGATTAATTTAGGGTTTTACTGAGTGATCCCCCTGATAAACAGCAGCCTAATGTTTTTGAGAGAGGGCATTGCAAAGGTGAAATATAAATTATGCATTGCTTTCATTAAATAGGAATAACAAGTATAGAGAACTACAGCCCAACATTTTATTTAAAAGTTTCCCACCTGCCCAAAAAAAAAAAAAAAAAAAAAAAGAGGTAAACTGGTGGTTGGTAGTTAATATCATGGGTACAATTAGTATTTTGCAATAAGTTACACCCACAAGTGCAGACACTTTGAAAATAGTCGAATCTGCAATCCCCTCAAGGCAACCATTTTGTTTGAACTGAGAACTTGTTCTCAAAGTTTTACATGTGCTCAGCAGGCCCCAAAGGGTAAGGATTCATTAATTTAATTGCAGTGTTAATTAATTAGTTATTTAATTGTTTGGTTTAATTGCAATGGTTTTATTAGATCAACCCTTTAATACATACCTCTTGTTTCCACTGCATGAATGCATTTTCTTACAAAATTAAAGCCAGCTTCATTTAGGAATGCTATCAAAAGAAAAGACTAAAAATTACATGTCATTATTCATCAGGCAAACCAGAAAGCCAAATTCACTGCTATCAAAATCACTAAACTCCT